CAAACACGGCCATTGACTTCTCAAACCCCAAACCCCGGCCTGGTCTGCAGAGTCTACTTTGCAAGCGTTCCCGGAAGTATTACGATGTTGCGCCTCTGGGTTTAGAAACTCACACCACTACAATCACATTGAAGTTGTGTGTTTCGTAAATCAATTATACATTTTTATGCTAAAGAAGTAATCTTGGATTGGATGATCTTTCGATGCAGTGATTGATTGAATCCAGTGGCAGACCCCGGGGCCAAGCAAGCAACACCAGTTAAACCACTCCTCTGTCTCACTAGTGTTTTCAAATATAAAATCCAATAAGTAATTGTATGTGTTAATATTGCGATGATTTTACTGTTTTATGTGTAAATAGTGCAGTGATCGGTCAAATTTGCAATCCCTCGCATAATATGCAGGGAATTGATGATTTAGCTAAAAGATATGCGATCACAGAATCTTAGAATCGCAAACTCCTGGAGGGACTTATATGGTTAAATAATGGTTAAGCGGTGTTATAGCCTTCACAAACAAGCATTAGGCCTATCCTTGACTCTATTGATTTGCCAATGTGGAACAAGAGCTTGTTAAAACACAAACAAATGATCAGCAAATATTAGGGACAGCTTTACTCTCCAATAGATCTATGGCACTGCAGTGCAGAAGGCAACTCTAATGAGTGCATTTTGTCCCCTTGAATGGACCAATACCACTTGAAAGCGCTGTGTTACAGGCCATCTTTCATGGGCCTACTAATCTTTGTCCTCTAACAGCTTGTATATACCTCTAGTGCATGTTTTTGGGGTTCAGTATTCTGGGCCACCTGTGCATGGTACTGGAAGAGGTCCAGTGTGCATGTGTAAAGTAACCAGGCAGGATTTTGGACTGTTTGAGATAGAGGGCAACAAGCCACCTGCCACAGGGGCTTGCCCTCTCTGGGCCCCAAGTCCTTGCTTTTAACTGGTTGCCAAGCTGGGGCTTCTTTCATGTGTGCCTGAGCTCTAAGACGTTAGCAAATATTGAACAAGGCTTGGTCCAGACTCAAATGCATCGGTTGTCACAGAGTCACCGCTGTTATGCAGAGAAGATCAGTGTGTGAGCATCGCCAGGCCTGTTGTATTAGCATCCGTGTGTGGACAAAGCTGTTGTTGATTCTCAGCAAACATAAATGCTCACTTTTGATGAGCTTAGGCTTTACCATGCTGCATGGTAAACAAATGAGATGAATGAAACAGAGCCTGGATATGTTTTCTACAGACAAGTGATGCAGTGATTGGATGTTAGTGCTGGTGATCAGTAGTAGTAGTAGATCACAGCCATAGCCTGCATTCTTTACTCAGACTCCATGACACAGAATCCATCTGTATCATATTGTTTGACCAAGAGAAATATGCACATCAAGGCATTCCTGTGTATGTACTTTCCTCTTAATTTCTGTAGCTACAGAATGTAAAAATGTTAGACATACTGTACAGTCACTATCATCTTTTGGGACCATTAGTGACCTACTGTTCCTTTGTTTTGACACTTCCATAACTTGAGGATTTCCATGTCCACACTGTAGGCCTGTTTGTTTGATCAACAAATGATCTGTATTTCTGTAAAGTGGAGAATGATAGTCATTGTGCTTTTACTTTACCTTTGTAAATTGTCTGTGAAGAATAGTAACGACTAGCCCAACAATGTACTCTTATAGAGTGTATCCTCAGAGGAGGAAGAGGATGACCATCCTACTCAGTGAATTTCAGAAGAAAAATAAATAGTGAAACATTAAAAAAGTTATACTTTTTAGATGAAACTATATTAAATATATTCACATCACCAAATAACTGATTAAAACACACTGTTTTGCAATGAAGGTCTACAGTAGCCTCAATAGCACTCTCTAGGTTAGCACCATGGTGTAGCCACAGGACAGCTATTTTCTGTCCTTCTCTGGGTACAGACTTCAATACAAAACCTAGGAGGCTCATGGTTGTCACTCCCTTCCATAGACTTACACAGTAATTGAGATGACTTCCTGAGGACGTCCTTCAACCTATCAGAGCTCTTGCAGCATGAACTGACATGTTGTTCATCCAATCAAAGGATCAGAGAATGAATCTAGTACTGAAAGTGTATGCTACAGCTAGCTAGCACTGCAGTGCATAAAGTGTGTTGAGTAGTTGACTCAAAGAGAGAAAGACAATAGTTGAACAAATACATTTCTTAAATTCTTTGGGAGAAGCAGCAGAGAGAGCTAGCTATATTTCGTTGTATTTTTTTTTCTTCTTCTTCTTAGTTTACCTTTCACTTACTAATGCAGATAATTTAGCCTACTCAACAACCTAACACAAACAGAGATTAATGCTATTTTGTGTGCCAGAACAGCCGAAAGAACCCTCACCAAAGTCCAAAACGAACAAAAACGTCACAAAATGTTGTCATAATATATGCACAAACTCTTCTGAACTGTTTCGGCTGGAAAGAATGCGGATGCTTTTAGCAGTACAAGCTAGCAATTCCCCATTTTCACTAGTGTACAGATTATAGCTAAATAACTAGTGGAGGAATGTACATGCCATAAAGAAATAATACCTTGCGGTAAATAAGACCTCATGTGTAAGCAGTTACAACAAATTACAGTTTACACATATTCTCTATACATATACAAATTCTTGGGCATGAGGCCGCCATGTGCAAATCAATTGGCTAGCAAAAATACCATAACCTCGGTGTGCTAAAGTAAAAACGACATAACACAATATACAACAAGGAAATATGCATTATGATAAGGTACTGTTGCATGAACACAAACCTCTACAAAGTTATTGTAAGTAAGGAAACAACAAAGGCAATGTGTGCGTCAGGGGAAATTCCCTGCTGCATTCAACAAGTTAGGGCAGGTTCTGACCCAGAGAATATGCAAATGTCTGTATATGCAGAAACAGGTGAGTGACGTAGCACCCAGAATGGCAGAGAATATTGTACACTAACCCTATAAAGTTGTGTAATGACTTAACCTTTTTGTTTTTTGAAAATGATGTCTCGCTGATATGAAAGATGCACTCCTTATGTTTCCAAAACCGTACCGCAAGCAATGTGTGTTCACATTCAGACCGAGTGTCAGGGCTCTTAACAAAAATTCCCCGGGAAGACGATACCTTCATCAATATGCGCTAAAGGTAGTTTGCGTCTATGAATGGGGTAAGTAAAGACATACCGGCTAGTCCACCACTTAAACCTGCTGTTGGTGGACAGAAAGCATGACCTTGTGATGAAACTCACCTGGTTGGACCATAGATATGAAAAGGGTGGAACTGGTGTGGCCTGTTTGGCGTTGCTGTTGCTCTCCACCAATCGTCAAACCTGTCTTGAAGCAAGATCATGTATTTATAAGTTCCTTCACAAGGGACTTCCTCATTTTCACCATACTATTGTTTAATGGCAATCAACTCACTAGCTCTCTGGAAGTTTCAGACAACATACTTGGAACATATTTATATTTCCTTTCTGTGAGGTCGTGAAGCAGCGGTGTACTGTCTAAACAGGTATGTGGATGTTTCTTCATATTTAATTATGTAATATGATGATAATTTGTTAAAGGCCCAATGCAGCCGTTTTATATAAATATCAAATTATTTCTGAGTAACAAGTACCTTACTGTACATTTTTCCATTAAAATTGTAAAAAAAAGAAACAAAAGCAAAAAAGTATTTATCAAGCCAGAATTTTGCTAGGAGTGATCTGAGTGGGGAGGGGAAAACTGAAAACTAGCTGTTATTGGCAGAAAGGTTTGGAACTCTCTTTGTTATTGGTCTATGAACTTATTTAACACCTGGTGATGTCACCAGGCAAGCCGAAAGTCCACCCATGCAAAACCTGCTGATTAGAAGGTCCTGTGTAGATTGTATTTTCAACCAGCAACTATCAGGAAAAAACACTGATCAAATTGTTTTACCCTTTTACAGTGTTTCTTTCATTAGCTGTTGTACAATAGGATACAAAACACAGGAAAAACTTAATTTTGACTGCACTGGGCCTTTAACCATTCTCTATCGGATATGCTATGAACACTACTTCTTTGATGAGAACCCAGAAATGTGCGTACACACTAAGCTAACATATGGAATTGTCTTAAGATGGTCATACCATGGATCATTTAGCTATTTGATTTAGCATTTTAGGACCCCTTTAGGTATAAAATATATATATTTCAAAATTATTTGATAAAATATAGCATTTAGTCTTTACTACTATAGCCCATAGAAACGCATTGAATAACATTTTAGTCATTTAGCAGACGCTCTTATCCAGAGCGACTTACAGTTAGTGAGTGCATACATTTTTCATACTGGTCCCCCGTGGGAATCGAACCAACAACCCTGACGTTGCAAGCGCCATGCTCTACCAACTGAGCTACACGGGACTCCACAATAACACATTCATAAATGGCAAAAAAGACAGTAAAATAATAAATCACAAGGAATAAGGTTTTGAAGTGTCTGTCCTATATCTAGGACATATAATAAAGCCCAGGAAATATATATATATTTACACATATTTAACCCCTTATTTTTGTTCGCACAAACTACCTCCATACTTCCATTCATTTGTATGGGTTACCTTCAGACGACTCCCGTGACACTTGTGGGGGTCGTAGAGCAAAACAGAGAACACCATCGTGTTCGTGAGAGTCTCCCCTTCCAAACCGTTTGGACACTACATATGTTTTGGTGAGAAGACTGAGTTCGGGATGTTTCATGGTCTGACAAACACCTCTGTAACTTGGCCATCTTCCACCACAGATGCGGAAGGCGGACATAAGCGGATGCGGTGGATTGAGACGCAGTCCATGCAAAAAATATCTCTAGCTTAAACTGATGGATTTTGATGGGGATTTTTTTATTATATTACTTAGATTGACCCACAGGTGGTCGATATACTGTTAAGGATTAACCAAGAACGCTGTCATTTTATCTTATCTTTGCAGTCTCTGTGTGAAAGGGTGTAGCCTGCCTTCTGCATCACTCAGCATGGGCCCCAAGAAGAAAACTGTCTGGGGGAAGCTGTGTGAGAAGACCAAGACCCAGTTCAACAACATAAAGAAGAAGACAACCCCGGGGAAGCTGGAGAAGAAAAAGCCCCTGCATTACAGACGCAGTATGTCAGTGCCGGACCTGAGGTTTGTTCAGGAGGCTGAACCCTCTTCAGCAGAAAGTGCATTCTCCACAGCCTCGGATGCCATCTTATTTGGCAGCTCCTCAGGCTCCAGTGATAACGCCTCTAATATCTCAGTCCCTCTGTTAATGGACAGGCTGACTGCAACTGATGCAGGCCCCTCAGGTAGAAAGACTGTGTATGATTTGGCTTTCATAGATAACATGAATGTGTCTGTTTCTAGAATGAGTGCACCTGTGGAGACACAAACTCTCTATGATGAATCAGAAGGGGAGGACATGGCGACCTTTATGGGCAGAATCCACATGCCATCAGACAAATGGAATACACCTGCAGAGAGATCAACTTCTTCTGCTTCGTCTACTTCAGCAGAAAGAGTAAAAACACCAGTGGACAGAGGGAACCCACCCATACCTACCCCGAGATCAAATGCTCCAAATATACATGTGCCCACAACAAGATTGACTTCATCAGTGGAGAGAATTCATATTTCTACAGAAAGATTGTTCTTCTCTGAAGACAGAGTGGCTGCTAGGGACCGAGTGAGTGCATCTGCTGAAAGATCTGCTTCTTCTGTCTCTGACCAAACAAACCTAGTTACAGAGAGACTGTCTGCTTCAAGGGAGCGAGGGAAACAACCAGCAGAAGTGAAATGGTCTGTTCCTCCAAATCCACAGGACAGATTGAACATCCCTCCAGATAGATGGTCTCTGCCAGTGGACAGGGTGGACAGGATGGGCACCCCGGACAGGATGGGCACCCCTGCGGACAGTGTGGATGGTTCTGCGTGTGGAACCCCATTAGAGAAACAATCCTACACGTTCTGGCCCACTGACTCTGAGGACCTGGATATGACAGAGCCCCCCCTCTCCACAGACATCAGAGACATCTTCTGCAGGGAGCTTCAGGAAGACATTGAGGTCAGATGACACACTAATATTGTACTTAATCATACCCTCCACAAATATAGTTATAGGCCTACTGCATACAGTGTAAAGTCAAAATACAGACTAAAAGACAGATTTCACACACGTTTTGATAGAAAATAAAAGTGCCTATGTCACAGTAACACAGGATACTTTAGTGACCATAAGACAGTATGTTTGACGCAGTGTATTTTCACTGTCATCTCATTAGCATGAACATTTGCAAGCTCTCTTTTCACATTCAAATAATATGGTCTGGTTTTCACACCCTTGAGCTGTTATGCCTGCTCTCTGCCTCAAGGTTTTCTATGACCAGTCTCTAGATCCATTACAATAGATATGCTTAAAGTCATGGATTGTGCTTAAGATAATGCTTAATTGGTTCTTTGTCAGAAATCTCATTGCAGATAGCAACAGATAGCAATCCCAATACTCAGATATGACGTCAAATAGAAGCAAACATTTTCTAGAAGCTTTTGTGTAGACCTGAAGTCACTTACATTGTATTATCTGTGGATCTGTCTAATTGTTGTGGCCAGAAAATTGCTGATCTAACTAGTTGCAGGTACAGTTATAGTAAGTTCAACAGTGGTCAAGAACGATGACCGAACATTATAACATGTAACTTTGTTCCATACTTTGATATGCTTACATTCTTTCTCCCGTAGTTACCCAATGAGCACAATGACTTCTATGCCCAGCCCTTGCAGGATCAAGCAGGCAACAATGTGAGTACTGGACTTCAAAACCTTATCAATGATAATGGACAACCCTAAGGCTTAAGACTATAGAGCATCATATTAATGTGGTTCCTTTCATTGAAAGGCTATGGCAGCGGGGAGCCCACCTGTTCCTATACAGAAGTACCTCCTCACCATCAACCTGAAGGAGGGCAGGAACCTGGTCATCAGAGACCGCAACGGTAAGTGTATGGAAAATACCTGGTACTTCTGGAGGTCTACATATGGATGAATGCAATGTCTGAGGCATGCTGGCTATATTTATATATACATACATACTTACAATTTGAGGAGTATATTATAATGAGTCAGATGATGACAAAGTAATTCATCATATTTACTTTGCTGATCTTAAAAAACAATTGTGGAAGCACATACAGTACAAAGGTCACCTACCTGTGTCTAATGTATTTTTGACAGTGATTACAGCATGCTGTTCTTGTTCATTGTCATATTTTCACCTGTGTAAAGACATATTTTCGTATCACAGGAGTAGATTAGCTGCCCTAAACAGTATGTTTTTACTGTTTTAGACAAACTGAAGCAGAGCAATTGAGATTATGTATTTGGTGAAACTGTCCCTCAAATTGTTTGCTTTACTATGGTAATTTCCAATAGAAACTGTGTTCCACTTTCACTCAACACTAATCCCGCCCTGACTTTCAGGGTGTCTCATACACACAGAAGTCACACAGAGGGAAATGTTATGTGGTCTATGTGTAGGCCTAATGACAATGCTTTTGATCAATGCTACTTGTTACAAGTGTTTACTGTTTACAAGTGAAGGTCCCTGTCAAACGTTGTTGGTGAAGAGCAGGGAGACACTGGAAAGGCATGCAGTCAGACCTGATTTGGTCTCTGTCGCCAAAACACACCTAGGAGCCTTCCCTTATGAAAGCACACCCTGCTCCACTCCATATTAGCAGTTACACTACAGAGGTTACATGGGTATGGTATCTTAGATATGTTTCTGTCACTTTGGAAAATATGGATCATCTTCATATTATGCAGAAGTGTATTTTGCCAGCCAAGCTCCACCACAGTATTCCTAGTGGTGTGCTGAATAGATTGCGAAGCACTGTGGTGGTTTCTATGTAAGCAAACAAATTATGTGGTGTGGTTTTCATAACCAATGCAAATTTAGAGGCTAAAAGTCAGTTGGAGAGTGCATGCAATGTTTCGCTGCTGCTGGCAAACTATTTTCCTTCTACAAATGACAAGCTGCCACCTGCTGGAGGTTTCCTAAAATACATCATAAGATGTTCTTGCCTTTTTACTGTAATTCATAGTGTTTTGAACCCCTGAAAGGAAATCCCTGATCTTACACCACTATGGTTTGAAGACTTGTTGGAATGTCATTATATAGCATTCTGTCATATTCTACACAGATTAGATCAGGGATGAACTGTTTTTGGAACTCAGTCGGGGTCTCTACTTACTGTTGAGAGATAGAATAATAGAATACACAAGGTGCAATTTCGAAATGTGGTTGTGCATCAGCAGTTTTTCTCTTGTTATATCAGTCACTGACAGCCACTCAATTAGCCATGTCAGCTAACATAAATTAGTCTAGCGAGCTATCTAAACTTGTAGTAATGATGGCCGAATACCGACCGTTCACGCAGGGCACGTGCCCAGGGGCCCTGATCTCGAGGGGGCCCCAATTGATTTTGTTAGTCACTCTCACTCAGATATCACATTAATATGGCATAAGTCAGGAAATTAGCTTTAAAACTGCAAACATTTCTCTCCACCCCATGGCAAAATGGATAGAATTGCAGGAAATTAGCTGTAAAACTGGAGAAATAAATCTCTGCCCCATGGCAAAATTAGTAGAATTTTTATTTGATCTTTATTTAACTAGGCAAGTCAGTTAAGAACAAATTATTATTTACAATGACGGCCTACACCGGACAAACCCAGACGACGCTGGGCCAATTGTGCGCCGCCCTATGGGACTCCCAATCACGGCCGGTTGTGATACAGCCTGCAATCGAACCAGGGGGTCTGTAATGACGCCTCAAGCACTGAGATGCAGTGCCTTAGACCACTGCGCCACTCGGGAGCCCAGAATTGCATGAAATGTGTTATAGAATTGCTCTCTTCCCCATGGCAAAAATTTGTAAAATAGCAGAAAACTTGCTTTAAAACTGCAAACTGTTCTCTACGCACCATGGCAAAATGTGTAGAATTGCAGGTAATTAACTTTAAAACATAAACTTTTCTTGTGCCGTCAAGACGGGCCAGCAAAATGTTTTGCCACCCGCAAGGTGGGGGAGCTTGGCCCCAGTGATGGAAGCTTGACCCAGTGATGTACTGGGCCGTACGCATTACCCTCTGTAACGCCTTGCGGTCGGAGGCCGAGCAGTTGCCATACCAGGTGGTGATGCTCTCGATGTTGCAGTTGTATAACTTTTTAAGGCTCTGAGGACTCATGCCACATTTTTTCAGTCTCCTGAAATAGCCGTTGTCGTGCCCTCTTCACGACTGTCTTGGTGTGTTTGGACCATGATAGTTTGTTGGTGATGTGGACACCAAGGAACTTGAAGCTCTCAACCTGCTCCACTACAGCCCCTTCGATGAGAATGGGGGCGTGCTCAGCCCTCCTTTTCCTGTCTCCTTTGTCTTGATCACGTTGAGGAGAGGTTTTTGTGCTGGCACCACGCTTCCAGGGAGTACAAGAGGGCACTAAGCACTCACCCCTGAGGGTCCCCCGTGTTGAGGATCAGCGTGGCAGATGTGTTGTTGCCTACCCTTACCACCTGGGGGACGACCCGTCAGGAAGTCCAGGATCCAGTTGCAGAGGGAGGAGTTTAGTCCCAGAGTCCTTAGCTTAGTGATGAGCTTTGAGGGCACTATGGTGTTGAACGCTGAGCTGTAGTCAATGAACAGCATTCTCACTTAGGCATTCCTTTTGTCCAGGTGGTAAAGGGCAGTGTTGAGTGCAATAGAGATTGCGTCATCTGTGGATCTGTTCTGGCGGTATGCATATTGGAGTGGGTCTAGGGTTTCTGGGATGATGGTGTTGATGTGAGCCATGACCAGCCTTTCAAAGCACTTCATGGCTACAGATGTGAGTGCTACGGGTCGGTAGTCATTTAGGCAGGTTACCTTGGTGTTCTTGGGCACAGGGACTATGGTGGTCTGCTTGAAACATGTAGGTATTACAGACTCGGCCAGGGACAGGTTGAAAATGTCAGTGAAGACACTTGCCAGTTGGTCAGCACATGCTCGGAGTACACATCCTGGTAATCCTTCTGGCCCTGCGGCCTTGTGAATGTTGACCTGTTTAAAGGTCTTGCTCACATCGGCTACGGCGAGTGTGATCACACAGTCGTCCGGAACAGCTGGTGGTCTCATGCATGCTTTAGTGTTGCTTGCCTCGAAGCGCTCATAGTAATTTAGTTCGTCTGGTAGGCTTGTGTCACTGGGCAGCTCACAGCTGGGCTTCCCTTTGTAGTCCGTAATAGTTTGCAAGCCCTGCCACATCTGACGAGCATCGGAGCCGGTGTAGTAGGATTCAATCTTTTACTTGTATTTACGCTTTGCCTGTTTGATGGTTCCTCTGAGGGCATAGCAGGATTTCTTATAAGCATCCGGGTTAGACCCCGCTCCTTGAAAGCGGCAGCTCTACCCTTTAGCTCAGTGCAGATGTTGCCTGTAATCCATGGCTTCTGGTTGGGGTATGTATGTACGGTGACTGTGGGGACAACGTCATCGATGCACTTATTGATGAAGCCGGTGACTGATGTGGTATACTCCTCAATGCCATCCCGGAACATATTCCAGTCTGTGCTAGCAAAACAGTCCTGTAGCTTTGGATCTGCGTCATCTGACCACTTCTGTATTAAGCGGGTCACTGGTACTTCCAGCTTTAGTTTTTAGTTTTTGCTTGTAAGCAGGAATCATGAGGATAGAATTATGTAGCCCTCCGCTTGTGCTGGTTTCTTGTGTGACTGCGGCCATGGCTTTCCTGGCCTTGTTGTCTCGAGCCACAGCTCCCTGCTAGTTGAGACCTTACTTTTCCTGACAGGATGTCACCATGATGATGATGCAATCCCCACACGCCTCTCCACTGTTTGCCCAACAATCAACACAGTGCTAGAGACCCACCAACACCATCCACTGTCATTACATATTCTAAAAGGACCCTTGCCACCAGCCCCCACTTTTATTTTTTTGTTCTCCCTTTTTTTTGCCGTTAATTTCCATCGTCACCGTTCTCAGTCACGCCAGATCTTTTCTTCTCACTGGCTGCCACATTCTCCTCCTGTCAAGTTGCCTGGAGGTTTCCCTGTCACAGACTGGCAGGGCGGAGCTGCTGTGGGTCCTGCCTGCCTTTGGGAGATGTTCATTTGGAGTGGGGAGCTGACAGGCCTGACAGCCCATCCCCGCAGGGCCTTTGTCATGTGATTCAAGCCTCCCTGCAGGCTCTCTCAAGCACCCCTTTATTCCTCCACACAAATGAAGGCATGGGTCTGGCTTTCATTTTTCAGCCAATCTGCATGCAATGGCTGAGACAAAGACACCCCGTCCCCCCACCCCACCACCAGGCAGACTTTCTTAACAGGCTTGGGAGATTAACACCGGTTGCTCCTGGTTTCTGGACTTTATTTGCTGGTTGTCTCATGCTGGCGAGAGTTTCTACTCTTTCACAATTAAACAGCTACATCCCTCTGTTTTCTGAAATAAATGTGGGGCGCACCTCCTCCCTGCATATCTCAGTCTCTCACACAACCGCTCTTTGATTTATCTAGCTGGGGGGGGGGGGTGCTGTGTGTGTGGTGCTAAATTGTGCAGATCTGTCTTGTGTCTTATATATTTAAAACAATTATGTGATATCTTTTTATACCGTTTTTGTACATTATGATACTCACCCCTTGGCAAGTATGATTTTGTTGATAATGCTATCATCTGATAATGGTTTTTATCTGCTATTATGTGAACATTAATTTTTTTTTCATTTTCTTTAGATACAAGTGATCCTTATGTCAAGTTCAAACTGGAAGGGAAGACGTTTTACAAAAGCAAAGTTGTGCATAAGAACCTGAATCCAAAATGGAGTGAGTCCTTCTCCTTCCCCCTGCAGGATTGGGAGCAGGTTGTCGACGTGAGGGTGAGTATCCCGTTAATCTGTTGTTTTGACTTATGTTGTCTAAGTAACACCTACACATGAACGGCAATGTACTTATATTGTCTTAAAAGTGACAGCTTGACACTATGATCATGTCATAGCTATGGCCTGCATAGGATACACAACTGGCATATAGTAACAGTTCATTGTGCCAAAGCCTGATTGACATACAGAAATCGTTTTTTATACTGAGTATGGTGTTTATAATTGTTGTAGGTCTATGATAAGGACCGTATCACTGATGAATTCATGGGTTCCAGCACGATTGTCATCAAAAACCTTGAATTAGACAAGTGAGTGATACACACACTACTAATCACTCAGCCTGTATATCATCTAGTAAACTGCAGAACTTCTTGTGTAGACTCAATTTGGGAAATTATTGTATACCCTGTCTGTGTCTCTATCTCTCTCTGTCCAGGACCAGTGAGATGGTGCTAAGTCTGGAGGACCCCAACAGTCTGGAGGATGACATGGGGGTCATCGTCATTGACACATGCCTAACTTTCAGAGATGCTACGATCAAAAGACCAGTAAGCCTCATTTGATCGGAGTCTCTAAATAATGTTACATCTCAGATTTTCAATCTCGATATTTTCAAATTTGTTCGTAAATGTTTATCTCCATTACAGAAATGGCACCAGAAAAAGAGAAGATTTAGGGTAGGACATTGAATTTTCTACTTTCTGCTTGCATATTTTTGTTGTAAATCTAATTCTAAAAAGTTTTCAATGCCAATATCGGCCAATGTGTCTATTGCTAGAATAGATATTCACAATACTAGTTATAGTAACAGTATACTCATCATTACTCGTCAGATGAGAAATCCAAATATTGCTGATATTGTGCCTAATAACCAGCAGCAGGGGGCAGTATATCACTGTATTATAAACGATGATCATGACAAAGAGTGAAGTCCTGTCCTAGGATTTTGGTTTTTGTGCACGCATTTTCAACCTTAATTGTGTGAAATAATGTATTTCTTAGTTAACGTCCTTGTCACATTGCCAACGACAAGTTTTGTATTTGGAATTGTATTGTGTAAATAATGTCAGACTAAACCATACATTAGAATGATCTAATCATGTTTACTTCATATTTACATGTTAACTAAGCACATTTAGGGGTAGAGCCTCTTTGAGGTTTAATATACAGTTCTATCTGTGATTTAGGCTGAAACTGGAGGCAGTTAAAGTGTTTTGTGTTTTAGACTGACGCTTCTCTCATTATGGTGATTGTGGGTTTATTCTCACACCTATTCACTTGCTACATCTGCCACAGTTTAATCTCCTGATAGGCCAGTAGACAATCTCCATTTTATGTTAAATAGATAAGAAATACAATACATTTCAGATACACATTGTATGCTCTGCAGATGGATAAATGGACAGACAAAGAGACATAAATGTGTGATCCGACTCTCCCGATGTTCCTCTGCTCAAATAATGGTGCAAATTTACACTTCTGCAGAGGCAGACGGCAGTGCCAAGATTTGTTGGTGGCAGTATGACTATGTTAATTTTGTGACACGATTGAATTAATATTTTTGACAAATTATAATATAAAATCCTGTTCCATTTGACACCTATCCTGGCGGCTGGGACTGAGCGCTAAGCTCTTAGTCATTCTTCATCTCCCAGTGCTACTCCCCACTCCTGTTCACTCTCAGCACAACTACCCCAGAGACAGTGAATGGAAACTGCCACAGTAAAACTCTGTCTCTGTGCGCTGTGTGATAGTGTTTCTGCACAGGAGGGGGCTGTGGGAGAGCGGGGGCTCTGCTGTTTGAGGCACGTTGCCAGTGTGAGATTCCGAAGATTCGTGACGCTGATCATTCCCAGGCATAGTGGGCAATAACACAGATGTTAGGATGTAATATCACAGCTGTGGATGGACAGAGCCGAGTTACCAGCCAAATGGACCTAGGTTTGAGCCCATCCTGCTCGTCCCCATGCTGTCCCACCATATGGAAGCAATCGCAGACCCCTTTTAGGACCAGGAATAGACTCTCTTTAGGGGCCACTTACAGTTAAGTTTTGTTGGCCGCTGAGATAGAAATGTGTCCAAGATAAACACTTGGCGGGCCCTGCTTTATGTCGCTCCTCCACTCCTCTATGTTCCTCCTCTGTAAAGAGGAGACGAGGGGTATTTATAGGGCCGAGCAGAGCTGTGCCGTGGTATTCCATGTTAATACAGGTCCCTGAGACGTACAGGCTTTGATCCCCAGCGGCCTGGGCCCTGGGTGGCGGTGTGTACAATGACCCTGGAGAGGAGGGGAGGGACGGGCTGGCAGGGGGGCCATAGCTGGGGCTTTGCTGTTTGAAGCCGTGAAGGCCAGGGCAGCAGAGGGAGACAGAGTATCAAAAAGGTCGGAGCAGATTACAGCCCTGCTCATTAATTACAGTCAGCCCCACACATCCCCTCTCTCTCTGCTGTTTGTTTTGAAAGAGATGGCCTATCACTGCACAGGCTCAACGGAACTTTGAACACATATCAAGGCCTGTTTCTCCCACTCTGTAGAGCCTCAGTTCTATCTCTTTTTAAGCATTGTGATTTAAGGTGAAATTGGAGGCAGTTAAAGTGTTTTAGACTGACGCTTCTCTCATCATGGTGATTGTGGGTTTATTCTCACACCTATTCAGTCGCAACATCTGCCACAGTTTAATCTCCTGATAGGCCAGTATGACAATCTCCTTTTGATGTTAAATAGATACTCCCCGTCTTCCCCTGTGGCCCAGAAGGACTGTTGGATTTGGGAGGGGCTGTCCTTGATGTTTCTGTGTTCTGACATCCTGGACATCTTGTTCCTCTCATACCCTTCTAGCTGATTTTAGAGATTTGATTGGACAATTGAGATTTGTTTGTGATTTAGTGAAGAATAGACCAATGTGTATGCTGCATATGTCTATATGTCATTGCCAGGCTGTATGTACATCCCTGCACAATTTGCTGATGAGAGGGTTGTGTGGTTGGTTTGCATCATTACTCACTGCGGCCTGCTGTCTCCTGTGTAGTATGCCAAGTGTCCTGCCTCCCCACACTCTGTCTCTGGGTCTGTGATGAGTGGGACTGTCACAGCCAGGGACATCTGGCTGCTCTGCTCACTGACACCCCCCTCTCTCCATGAACCTCTCCTCTCCTCACTGGTGTGGCTCTGCTACATTCACTGGAGAAGGGCTAATGTGCTCAAACAGAAAAGAGGCTGTAGCCCATGCAGTCCACAGATGTGATGAGGTGCCAGACTTGAGGCGCCGGTGAATAGAGTGGGGTAGCCACTCAGAGGGTTTTGTCATGGAGGGTGTCCTAATGCAGCTGTGCGTCCATGTTTGTGTCTCCCAGGGAGGCCAGAACCAGAAGGGGGACCAGCCCCAGGATAAGGCCCAGACCCAGCGCTCGGCTGAGGCCACCAAGAAGAGCCAGCTGTGGAGTGGAGTGTATGGTATCACCCTGTTAGAGGGACAGGACATGCCTGAATACGGCCAGGGGGACGTCTATGTGCGCTACAGACTGGGAGAGCAGAAGTACAAGAGCAAGGTGAGCGTCTTTCTCCATCTATTAGTCCTTTTGCCTCCTCACTTCCTATTTTCTCTTCCCTTCCCCTTTGCACATGCTCTCCACCCTCCTTTCTGCTGCTCATTTCTTCCCCCTCCCTTTTCTCTTTCTCTTTTCTCTCTCTCTCCATCTCTCTCTCTCTCTCCTCTCTCTCCTTCTCGCTCTCTCTCCTTCTCTCTCTCTCCCTCCCTTTCTCTCAGCAGGTGCCTGTCAGTGTTTTACCTCCACCTTGGCTCACTGGGGCATGGCAGAGCAGCTCATTAGACTAGGCATCTCTCTGCACCACGCTCTCCTTCAGGTGGAGGGCTTCACTATGCTTCACTTGATTTGCATACCCAGCATGCCCTGCTCATCTACCTCTACTTGTTGGCCTCCCCCCTGATGATTCTGCAGCACGCCAGTCTTGTGTTCTCATGTCATTTCTCTGTAAACCTCTCTGGTTTTGTTTCTGCTTGTTTGTTTGTTGAACAAAGCTAATTCTAATTGGATGCTGTCAGTATTTATAATCCCAGAGAGGAGGCTGAAGAGCGCTCACACAAAAAACCCCTTCTCTCCTTCCCTCTCCTCTCCCTCGTCCTGGTCACACTGAATGAAAACTTAATCCACCTGTCATGTAGTCTCCGCTCACTGTGACACTGCATTAAACCTGACACCGCTCTGCATCATGCCGTGTGTGTTCCAGTGCCCACCCACACTACAATACTGTATCAGCACTCTGCTCTTTTTCGCTCTCCCTCAGAGCCTGTGCGTTCAGGCCAACCCTCGGTGGAGGGAGAAGTTTGACTTCAACAAGTATGAGGACTGGCTGGAGCCACTGCAGGTGGAGGTGTTTGCTAAGAGAGGCAGGAAGAGTGAGGTATCCTGGGGAATGTGAGTATGGCCTTGATTGTCTGATTGTTTGTTATCTTCTATGACAGTCATTGACTGTTCTTTAAAATGGACATTGTTCAGCCGTGATGTTGAAGGCTGATACCGTCTTGTGTGCAGGTTTGAGGTGGACCTGTCCAGGCTGCCAGTAAACACACAGCAGCTCTACACCCAAGTCCTGGACCCAGGCAAAGGCAGGCTGGTATTACTGGCCACCTTCAGCCCCTGCAGTGGGGTCTCCATATCAGACATTAACAAACCTCCCCTGGAACAGCCAGACGAGAGGGACCAAATCCTGGAGAAATATGTTAGTACCTTTAGGGACATATTACTACTTATTCATGCCACTTTTGACATTTTACATGCTTGAATTAGTAAGTGCTACAAGCAGACAAGTAAATACATTTCAAAAGCTATCTAGGATTACTAACCTGTGTTTATACATTTAACTAAGACTGTTTGTATCATTTTACCTTTGCAGAGTTTGAAGAACTCTCACATAAGTTTGAGGGAGGTTGGCTTCCTTCAAGTCAAGGTTGTCAATGCAACAGGTCTCACATCAACTGACCTCAATGGTGATATATCACTCCACTTTTAACCATTCCCATTTGAACTGGTTACTTTCTATGGCTGAGTCCATCTACAATTGCACACACAGTGTAACACAGCTTTGTTCTTTCTTTGCAGGGAAAAGTGATCCATTCTGTGTACTGGAGCTGGGGAACAGCAGGCTACAGACTCAGACCCTCTACAAAACACTCAACCCTGAGTGGAACAAAGTCTTTACATTGTAGATATGTTTTTCCTTGGTCTTATAGTGTACTTTGTAAACATTAATGCAAATTAATGTATTCATTCAGATCTGGACTAACTGGTTATCTGTTGACAGCCCAATAAAGGACATCCATGATGTGTTGGAGCTGACGGTCTTTGATGAAGACGGAGATAAAGCCCCAGACTTTGTGGGCAGAGTGGCCATTCCACTACTCACTGTAAGTTGGGGATCCTTTGATTCATAATAGGCTTATAGTTTATTAATTGACATTGACAAGTTGTAAAACATGTCATGGGTCAGAGAGGAGCATCTTCAGTAAATAGTAATGTGGTGCTATTGATTGACGTGCATTTACTAACGCTACAGGTTCAGAATGAACAGCAGGTCACCCGAGGGTTGAAGAATGAGAACTTGGGGGGTCCAGCCAAAGGTACCATCTCATTGGTGATGGAGGTCCACTATAATCCAGTAAGAATTCACTGGCTGATTCTATCTTAGCTCATGCGCTTTGACAATTGACCCAATCATATTACTTACTGACTTTTTACTGATTTCCTTTTCATTCATTTTCATTGGATTTGACAATTTGAAATATCTTTCTCAGGTTAGAGCCGGCATCAGAACATTCAAACCAAAAGAGGAAAAAATCCTGAAGGACAACACAACATTTTCCAAAAAGGTTTGCCTTCGCAATGAATGTCAGGCCTATAGAATCTAAAATGAATGATTTATACACATAAAGCATGGTTGTTACAGTTTGTTGGATGAAGGAGTACTGGAACATGCTCCTTATATCACAGAAACTAAGCTTCCACAGGCAAGCAGCATATTAGCTTTGATTGGTCATAGTCTAACTATTTGGCTCAAGGCAACAAACCAGAAAAGCCACACAGCAGCAAATAAGGCCTTGAATAAACCTGAATTTGAATCATACACATAAAGCTTTTATCAAATCATGCTAACTGCCATTTTGTTTGAATTATTTCCCATTAGGTCCTTGCCCAGAATATCTACCGAGTTCGGAAAATCACCCTGGCAGTGCTGCATACGTTACAGTACATTAAAAGCTGTTTTCAGTGGGAGAGCACGCAGCGGAGTATAATAGCCTTCCTGGTAAGTCATTGCCCCATGTTAATGAACTAGTGCTAAGCCTTGGGCTGTGCAATTTGTGTATCCTATTTCACTGCAGTACTATTTTAACACTTTCTTCTGTTCATCTGCAATAGATGATAGACCAGTATGTTCAGGTATAGGCCTACTTAGATTCTTGTTACTGTTTCTCAGTCACATGCTCCCAAGAATTGACACGGCCAGTCTTTATTCTCCATTCTGAATTTGAAAGCTGTGCTATAACCTTTAATTCAAACCCCACTTGGCTTCCTTCAGAGTTCTTCTGGCACTAGGGCTTTATGTGAAGGCCTTGGGTCTGGCTGTTTGGTCATCTGACTTCTTAGCTAAGCCCTCTCCCCCTGGGGACGGTGTTCGGGGAATCACAGTCTCTGCTCCTCTGTGTGGAGGAGTAGTGACAGTTGGCCTGGGAGATTTGAACCTTGTTTAAATGTCTGTTTAGCTGTTTTAATGAGGCGTTGTGATCTAATACCCTAAGCTGAAATAATATTTATTTCACCCCGTGAATCCCCCACCTTAAAGCACATGTAATGTCATGAATAAACGCATCCTCTTGCAATAAAGCCCTGGCAGCGTCAAGTCAGGGTGAGGAAGCGGTCACAGACAGGGTGTGTGAAGATCCCTTTCTTCACAGCCTTCATTCCTCTCTATGTTCTGTCTCGGGGCGACGTGTATTTCATACCTGGTGTATTCTATAAGGCCTGCTCACTGATCCTCAGGTGGATATCCCCTCAGGCAATGGCCATGCTCACGGTATCGGTACAGGTATGGACACAGACAGACAAGAAGACAGACTGGCAGACAGGAAGCTAAAGTATGCAGGCAGATAGACAGAGACTGGGAGGGAGAAAGGCAGGTAGTCAGCGATGCAGGCAGGCAGGAGGGTAGGCGGGGTGACGGGTGACAGGTCAGCGGGATAGGTCCATCTCCTGGCCCCAACCTATAATTAGATGCTCTGCAGGCCACCAGGGTGTGTGGTGGCACACTCTAATCTTTCATTTCCACTTCCACTACACCTGCTGTTCAAGACCAGCCCATAAATAGGGAGATCAGAGGAGGGAAAAACAGGGATTACTCTCTGGCATACTGTGACCAGAAATATGTACTTTTTTTTGGGCGTGTATGTACCTAAAGATTAACACATTTAAATGTTTAGTTGATTTTGTGTAAGTGCTCCTGTTGCAGGGACTGAAATGGTTTATTTGTGTTGTTCTAAAATGTGTTATCTTGATTGTGAGTAAGATGGACAGTTTGTGGACAGCACAGCGGTACCCATGCAGTTCTATTTAGAGACAGACACACTGCAATAGAGCAGTCTGGCTATCTGCAGTCCACTGAGCCCTATGCTTTCCTCTGGAATGAGGTGTGCTTCCCAAAGCGCTAGTGTCAAAGGTGTCTGCCGAGACTTGCCTGAGGAGAGAGTGAATCAGCCTGCTGATAAATAAGTAGTGTTATCACCCACTCACCAGCAGATAGAGAGTTAGACTGGAGAAAAGTTCTGATTTCTAATCAGGCATCGCATCCTCAACACCTCACTGCATGAAGAACAGCAACAATCATAACCTGAATATGGCCTTTGGAGCAACAGTCAAAGAGAACTATTGAGTAAAAACACAAACAGACAAAAGCCTTGCCATGTGAGACGAGAGTGCAGCCAAGGGGCCTTTACAGCCATTACAAGCCCAGTGGCGTACCACTACACACACTAGCACCCTGGCCCTCTGTGGGGTCAGCCACAGCACAGCCACACGATGGCCACTCCTCCTCCCATCATAATTTGCAATTCAATTTGTGTTTGGAGCTGTCTGAAGCAGCATGCCACCGTGTGCCTTAATGAAAGCAGCTACCTCTCCTATATTTATATCTTTAGGCACTGGTAATAAGGTAACTGATTCAGACACTGACAGATGGCCTCTGCTTGCCTCTAAGATGTGCATAATTAGAGGATTGTCTTCTCTTTTCTACAGCAGCACTCTGCTTCTGCTGCTTCTCAGAATATGCCGCTAGGAACGGCTGCAGTGTAGGCTTAGACTTTAATATACATTACAATACATTATTTATCAGCCAGACAGACCATTGCTGCCGTTTTACACCACATGCATCCTGTAATGCATTACCGCTGATGTGGTTTCATCCCTGGACTGTGGGATCTGCCACTAGTGCCTTACCAGAAAGCCTTATCCACCAAGCCACTGTAAGTCCCGTAGGCTAATGCTCTGACCTGCTCACAACATGCAGTATACATTGTTGCTCAAAAGAAGCAGTCAATTCAGGGAATGTCGATCTTCGTGTGTGTATTATGAAATACCTTTTGGTATGTGTGAAGTATTTTTTGTTTGGATGAGAGATTTGTCTCACAAAAGGAACAGTGTAATCTAGTCTTCCATAAGCTGTATTGGCAATGTTTCAACCCTTAGGTCTGCATCAGGTCTGGTCCATGTTAACAGAGGTAATTATGGAGAATATCATTTAAAACAAAAACTTCTCAGGCACATAACTTTTCCCTTCAATTGGCCAGCAGCATTTCACCCTGCATCCCACTGCTGGCTTGCCTCTGGAGCTAAGCAGGGTTGGTCCCTGGATGGGAGACCAGATGCTGCTGGAAGTGGTGTTGGAGGGCCAGTAGGAGGCACACTTTCCTCTGGTCTAAAAATAAATAAATAAAAAAGAATGTCTCAGGGCAGTGATTGGGAACGTTGCCCTGTGTAGGGTGCCGTCTTTTGGATGGGACGTTAAACGGGTGTCCTGACTCTCTGTGGTCACTAAAGATCCCATGGCACATATTGTAAGAGTAGGGGTGTTAATCCCAGTGTCCTGGCTAAATTCTCAGTCACTTACCTGGTAAAATAAAAATTCCCTCATGAGTGGCAATCAGAAAAGTATGTATTCTGAGTCGACTATTTAAATTGGGCATACAATGTACACTGTTTTGAAATCAAGATGGCTATTCAGGCATTCTGCTGCCATAGAGTATTATAATGTGAAGAGGAAGCCTGTTAAGAATGCAAACTTCTGCAGCACTGTCATTGTTTGCAGGGCTTGTGGTTACTGATTCTGATTGCGTAATCTCCTTTGTAAGTGGAGTCTATCCTATTTGAAGTTATACCTTGGATTTTCCACCCATAGGTTTCAGTTTCAAAATAGCAACTTTCTAATTAGGTAATGTTAAAATAATATTTTGCATGCATTAAAAAAAAACTCTGGCAAAGCCTCATAAATGTCATCATTAGTAAACAGAAATACAAACAGGAAATTTAGATTTTTGTCAGCGATTGTTTATGCTACTGTAATGAGCCTAGGACGTGCATTTTTCTAAAGTTTGACAACGGCCTGTTCCCTTCTTCTGTGCTTCTCCCTAAGACTGAGCTAGATGAATATGCCATACATCAGCAGCAACTGCAGAGAGAGGGGTCACCCAGAGTTCTTTCCTGTAGATATTTCCAGTGCCTGTAGATGGAGCTATAGCACTGCTGAACTATGTAGTGGAGAGCCTGATGGGAGATCACTCTTCTCCCAACTAGAGTTCTTCATGGAAAAAACTGTAAAAGTGAAAACCTCCATTCTTCGGATCCGCTGGACCAACAGAACAGAAGTTTCTCAAACATGCTAAATGAGCATGTATTAGCCAGCCAAATTAATCTGTTTCATAAGTTTAGGCAGGTAGCTTAGTGGTTAAGTGTGCCAGCTTGTGCCAGTAACCGAAAGGTTGCTGGTTCTAATCCCCGAGCCGACTAGGTGAAAAAAAATCTGTCGACGTGCCCTTGAGCAAGGCACTTAATCCTAATTGCTCATGTAAGTCGCTCTGGATAAGAGCGTCTGCTAAATGACTCAAATCTTAAAGTTGAGAACACTTTTGATTTAGATTAAATGGATGGAGGTCCTCAAAAAAAGGAAAGGGAATATTTATACATGAAAGCTGATTTTGAGCTTTTCTGTCATTAGAGCGCTTTAAGTATTTAAGTAGAATTAATATTTTAACATATGAGGTGGTCTCGTCTGTCAGGAGTTCTGACTAGAAAGAAACCTGTATACCTTATGTGAGTATTTGAACAGTTTTCTTTTTGACACTGCCAGGTAGCAACTGGTTTAGACATCATTTGACAGCCTGTGAAATGCTGATTGCCTCACATCACAGACTGTAAAGATGGTATTTGATTAATGTTTGATGCGGTGGAGCTGAAAAACACTGTTGGCAGCTGCCACGGCTGCTTCTTTTGGCTGATAGAATCCTCGTCTCCCAGATGAGAGCAGGACAGGGTCAGATCTGGATCCAGTGGTCCTGAGGGACCACCTGTGAGGTGTCGCCGCACCCTGCCCGCCTGCCCCCCGGCCAGGCCCATTACCCAGAATACCAGGATGGCCAGGATCAAAGCCATAATCAGTGCTGTCATAATTATTCTAGTTAACACCGTCCCCAAAAATGACATGTTTGGTGAGCACTGATCTGCCTCGGTTTGGTTTACTGCGATGCAGTAATGCAGTATGTATGACCAGAAGAGTGTGAGAGGAGTGTACATGCCTGTGGAACCTCCTCTCGTTCCTTTCTCTGCATCTGTTTTCTTTCTGTTGAAAAGGTTGGAGGATTGTGTATGGCTTGGCTGGCTGGCCTTAAAGGAGTGGGTTCTTGCTTCTCGGGGGTTACACTCTTGAACTCTATGGCTGTGGGAGTTCTCACAAAGTTTGCAGTGGGAATATGACAGGGAGGGAGAGGGAGACAGCCCTTCATGGTGATGTGTGTTTGCATGATTTTGAAAATAGTCTGAGATGTATTCCTTATTAAAGAATGGGATATCAGTATCCGCAATTATTGAGCGACGCCTCCCTATTTGAAATAGTCGGTACTGTTATTGAGTCGCCACAGTGGATGGCAGTGTGTCAGTTGACAGCTCTTAGGGCTAGCTGGTAACCGTAACCTTGAGACACGTCCTCTTATACAGAGAGCCTTTCTCTGGCAGACAGTTGTCCTCTCTCAGTTAGAGCGCTAAAATAACATATTTTCTGCAAAATAATAAACTTGTTATTTTCAAGTTTATTTTAATTATTAATTGTCTTTTATTGTATAATATATTCATTTTCATTTAAAATATAAAGCAGCATGAAATTATAATTTCAGAGGATAAACAAGCCAGATGATGTTGCTATGAATAACACTGCAGCCCTCTGTGTTGGTGCATCCGCCGTGGTGCTTTGTCTGTCCCTCCGTAGCGGTTTAATATTGTGCTTATTTTGGTCCCAGATGAAGTGTGCCGTATCGTAATGACTGCCTCTAACACGCTCACCACCTCCCCAGTCACAGAGGACACCTCTCCCCAGAGCCTGTGACCTGACCGCCTCTGTGTGTGGCTGTAACGGGGAAGGCCTCGGCCCGTGTGCGCTAACATGTCTGTGAGCCGAG